CATTCATTCATTCGGTGACTGTTTATTGAATGGCTGGTACTGCTCTAGGTACAGGGGATACAGCAGTGAACAAGGCAGATGTCTTCCCTCATAGAGCTCATAGTCTAGTGAGGGAGTTGGGTAAAAGAAGGATAAATACGTAATTTGTGGAAGTCTCGCTTTGCACGTGTTCTGAGAAGGCGGGATGCATCCTGGCTGATCCATGTTGAATATGGAAATCAGATTCCTCTTTGCTAGTGGCCGGTCTAAGAGTGTCCAAAGAAGTAGATGGAGAAGTCTAACGGCAGAGGTGGGTTTCTAAGAAAGTTCTTTCTCTCTGGCAAATGAACAAAACAAGGAGAAGTATCCCTTCCCACTTGCCCCCTTCTTCCTGATATGAAGTGAGAAAGTGATTTCTGGGGTCATGGCATTCATCTTGAGGCCATGAGGGAAATGCCAAGAAAACCATTGAGATGCCAATTCACTATTTGGTTACCACTAAACTGCTAAACCAATACTAGCCTTTTTTTTTTTCTCCAGACTTGTTATTTTGGGAAATAATTAAATATCTTTTTTCTTTTTTCATAAGTCACAGTTAAGGAGATTTTACTTGAGGGACTAGCGGTTAGCTAGATTCCCATGTAGTCAACCACGGTTCGTGTCCCGGACCCGGTGGCTTAAAACTCACGCCAGGCGCATGTGCATGTGTGCCCAAGATCCCGAGAGGAGAATGGAGGAGAAGGGACTGCGGCATGGCCATGCCCCAGGGGGTGATTTCTTGCTTTCTGTCTCTGCGTCTCTCTTTCTGGCGAGCTCACGCACTCTATAGCAAGAACCTCTCCAAAAAAAAAAAAAAAGAGAGAGAGAGAGAAATTTTACTTGCAGCTAAAAGCATCCCCATATGAGGGAGGTTACAAGAGGATGAATCAGTGGTACGTAAACCATGAAGTGAATCTAGCGTCTCTCCTAAGAAGATGGATCTCAAATGAGAAGAGGATTGTGTTGTTTTATTTTTATATTTGGAAACAAAAAGGTCACACACAATATCAATTGTATTGTCTGTTATTGATGATCACCAATGGGAGTTTTAAGAATTATTTGTTTATTATAATTATTATTGTTTAATTTGCTAGAGAGAGACAGAGAGAGGGAAAGTGAGAAAGTAAGCTGCCGGGTCCAGGATTTGAACCATGGTCAGCTATGTGGGAGACCAGGGTCTCAACCACTATGCCAACTGCTGGTCCAGGTTTTTAAATCTATAGAAGGAGTTCTTTAAAAAAAAAAAAAAAAGAATTATTTTATTTAACTTTATTTATCCATTTATTTATTTATCTTAATTTGACCAGAGTTAGCGAGAGAGAGAGTGAGTGCGAAAGCAAGTCACCAGATCTGGGACTCAAACCACAGTCGGCCACGTGGGGGTCCAGCATCCTTAACCGCCATGCCACCTGCTGGCCCCTAGGAGGAGTTCTTAGATGTTTAGTTTAATCAAAAATTGCTATGAGTATAAAGAATACTGATGAACTCTAAGAGAGAATGTAAATTTCTCTCAACGACTTAGTAAAAACAAATTATTTTTTAAGACAAAGCTAGATACATTCGTGAGTGGAAATTTGCCAACTAGAGGGTGTATAAGCAAGAGAGAGACAGAGAGAGACAGAAAGGATCCCCCATGGGGAATGGCCATGACACAACCTTTTCCTCCACTGGGATTTTGGCCATTCACACACATGTGCCCAAGATGCCAGGTCCAGGACTCAAACAGTGCAGTTAGCCATCTGGGATCCAGCTGCCTTAACCACCACACCATCTGAAGTCACATACTTTCTTCTTTAATAGATTTTAACTATAGGATGTGTACATTTGCTAGAGAGATACAGAGACAGAAAGCAAGAAATCAACACCCCCCCACTCCCAGGGAGGATGGCCACGTCATAATCCCTTCTCCACTCTCTCGTTGGGATTTTGGGCATGCACACACACAATACCGATTGCATTGTCTGTTATTGCTGATTTACCAACAGGGTTTTATGAATTAAAAATTAGAGTGCTGGGACCAGCAGTTAGCGTAATGGCTATGATGCTGAACTTCCACGTAGTAGACCGTGGTTCGAGTCCCGGACCTGGTGGCTTAAACTCATGCCGGGTGCGTGTGCATGCGTGCCCAAGATCCGAGAAGAGATGGAGGAGAAGGGATTGCGGCGTGGCCA